AACTCGTTCAATCATATTTTCATTATCCCTTGTGAAAACGAAATTGCTACATTTCGAAAAACCGAAGAAAATTGTATGTTAAAATATAAGGTATTTGTGGTATTTTCTAGACAAACGATTCATCACATTACACAAGGAAACATAAAGCGTTTCCCATAACCAGAGTTAAGAGTCATCTAACCTTCAAGTCGTTTAAAAATGCTTTGATGTTGAGAGATGCGTACATCCGGTAACAAATTTGTAAAGGCTTTATCCTGTGTACAAATCATAGATATAGCTGTGAGAAAGTTGCACATCCAGTCAATTTCTATGCAATTTCCACTTTATATGAAGAAAACTGATATGTAAATTTCTCTTGCAGCTGTGAAAATACTGTCAGTTTTATAAGGACCTTATAAGCAGCTATTCTCATATTGTAATCACACCCACTTATTCTCAATATGAATTAATAAGGATTTGAAATAAAGACTCGTTGTTGATTCAAGAGAAATACGCAGTCATATCTGCAAAGGAATCTTCACTACTTAAACCGCCGACCCAACCATATTTTTCTCTGTGGCTGTTTTATCCTCCAATAATTTCAATCTATTCCTCAGGATTGAAGTAGTGATTGTGTCCCGTTCGCGTCAATTTCTACTTAATTAATAAATACTATCTGTATTCCTGATATTTAGTTATATCAGAAGGATCAGCAGAATCTCATCCATTCATTGATAATTCAATCTTAATAGTTCCTTCCAACTAAACGTGGAGAACTAGTTTTGTTTCAATAAAGGAAGTAGGGAGGTTGAGTTTTATTTGTCACGAAAGGAGTTTTAGAATTAGTAACATAATGAATTTTAGCAACATCTGTGTAGAAAAGATTGAAAATAAAAGAGTTTGATTTGTCGGGCTCGATTTGGGTTTGTTCTTAAGACAGACGAATATTCTGAGAAAGTATTCTTTGTCGCAAATTTCAATATCGCGAAATTCTAAATAAATAATAAAATTTCTTATTCAAATTGTAAATGAATGTTAACATTTACATAATTTTTCTCTTATGCTTAAAGTCATGAGTCAGCTATCCAATCTACTAAAAGAATTTTTTCTTTTGATGTTGAAATTTGTGCACATATGGTAACTAATTTGTAAAGGCTTTTATCCCATACAAAATCTTTTATACAATGGTGAGAAAGCTGTACATCAGATAAAATAATTTCTATGCAATTTTTTCTAAAGAAAACTGTTCTTATATGTAAATTTCTCT